CCTTGCAATCCTTGCTATGCTTGATCCGATTGTTGCAGCCACTATGTCAATCCATCTTGTTGAGGGTCTTCCCCTCTTTCACTGACCCTCTAATTTACTAAGCATGATATCTGCCTTAGTTCTCTCATGTTGCTATCACACAAATACCACAAGTGGATAATTTTAACAAACAGGAATCCATTCTTTTACAGTTTGGGAAGGTAGAAGTCCAAATTCAGAGTGCTGGCTCTAGGTGTTGGGTGAAGGATCCTTGACCTCAGGCTTCAGCTCTGCCTTTTGTTTCAGGACCACTGGAGCTGGAGGCTTCTCCTAACTCATGCAGCTGCTGGCTGCTGAAGCTGACAAACCCAAGATGGGCAGGTAAAGTGGCACAATCCCAAGATCACTAGGCAATATGGCAGGCCACATGTTCAAGTCCAGGAACAGTCCCAAGATTGGCAGGCAATATAGCAGGTCATTGGTTCAAGTCCAGGAAATAGAAATGAAGACTGAACCAAATCCAGGGTTCTTTCTGTATATACTGGGAGAAGACCACACCCCAAATATCACTCTCCTTTCACTGATTATTTGCTTACAGTAGATTCTACCATGTAGGTGATTACACAACATCCAATCTCATTATAAGGAGCTCTGGTGGTGCAGTGGATAAGGCGTTTGGCTGCTAACCAGAAAGTCAGTGGTTCAAACCCACCAGCTGCTTCACAGAAGGAAGACTGTGCAATCTACTTCTGTAAAGATTTACAACCTCAGAAACCCAATGGGGGTCACTATGAATTGGAAACAACTTGATGGCAGTGAGTTTGTTTAATTCTTAATCTCATTATGGGGAACAGCTACTTCCAGCGGCCAAGCCACTCAAAGTTATGACCCAGCAAAGTTGGCATACAACCTTAACTACCACAATATCCTTCTCCAGGGACTAGTCTTTTCTGACAACACGGCCAAAATCAGAGAGATGAAGCCTGGCTTTTCTCACTTCTAAGGCTTGTTCCCACCACTCGTCTGTCAGTTTGTCATACTGTGGTGGCTTGCATGTTGCTGTTAGGCTGGAGGCCATGCCAACACTATTTCAATTACCTGCAGGGTCACCCGTGGTGGACAGGTTTCAGTAGAGCTTCCTGACTAAGACAAACTTGGAAGAAGGAAAGGACCGTCAACTTCTCAAAGAATTGGCCAGTGAAAACCTTATAAATAGCAGTGAAACACTGTCTGTTATATTATTGGAAAACTTGATGATTAGCCCTGAAACATTATCTGAGAGACTCTGATACTTGCT